ATTGTTGCAACTTCTGTAATGTTAGTTAGACTCAGCTGTAAGGTAAATATAATAAAAATAACAAATATATATAAGTATACAATGTTATGAGATTTAAGATATTTAGACTAAACATTTGTGTTTTTGTGATATAATTTGTAGTTATTCTAGAACGAAAAAGGCATAATTTGTATTTATTTTATAATTTTTTACGGTGGTTATGAGATCAGTCTAACCTATCAAACCTGTACAGAGATTTGATTGTGAAAATAACAGATAACATATAAAGTTTTTTTCTTAAAAAATGTTTGATAATTATCTGGAGTTTATAAAGATTTCTCATGTGGAGTTTGAAAATTTTCTTAAGCGTAAAAGTATTTTTAATCTTAAAATGAAAATTAATTTGCATGTTGGATAGGTAACATGCAAAAAGAAAAAAGCCATGAGAAAAACATTACTTAAAAAACCTTAAGACTTAATAAAAAAAAAATATTTTGTGTATGAAAGCCTTGTAATTTTTACTGATCATTTGCCAAATTTTGTGAATATATGCTTATTAATGTAAAAGTTATAGCATGAAAACTATAACAAGCACAGAATGGTTACGAGGTCATTCCCAAGGATCGAGCCCGTGCTGAAAGAGATAATTGATTATTTATGATATGTACTTATTCCCATACCAGAATTGAGCCTTTATATTTAATAAATTATTGCTTGTAACTAATAAAATTATATTTGTCATTTTTCAGGGGGTCCTTGTTAGTTATTTTGACTTTAAAGCATCGCCAGAGCCTCGAGGATACAAACAGTTTTATATGGCATCATTAACAGCACTTAATATTGGTAAGAATAGCCAGGGTTTGGCAGTTGACACAATACTGTTAAAGATCAAATTCACAGTTTGTTTTCTTACTTAGAATTTATTACTGTAAACAATATTTGTATAATTTTAAGGGTTCATGATTGCCAGTCTACTGATTTGTTTATTTTTTGTAAAGTGACTTAAAGACTTGTTTTTATACCTAATGTAAAAATATGCACTGAACCTGCTTTGTTCTTTTTCATGTAAGGGGCATCGTTTTAAAGGTATAGAAGTAGGCTTGAAATAGTATGTTTCTTTTTAGCGGTAATTGAGAGAGTTTCATTATAACAATTTTCAGATATTTTAATATTGAAAACTGATTGCATTGTTATAAAAAGTATATATTTATCTGTTTATTGATTTCATCTAATTTGTTTCTTTACAAATTTAATATCTTACATTTGTTTTGTACTAGGTTTGTCATTATGACATTATTGGTTATGCTCTATTTTTTACTTTTTTAAACTGTACAGACCCAACAAGAAGACTTGGCTTTGGCATAATCACAACTAAGAAAATGGCACTGAAGCTGAAGGTGACATTTTCTTCAACAGTTTTACTATATTTGTGGAATGGTACAGAGGTAAATTATTTGTTCATTTTAAGGTCATATATCAAAGTGTGTAAGTATATTGATGAAGTTAATAAGGAACAGTTCTAGATCTGTAAAATGATGTAAAGGTAAAAACATATTAACTCTCTCACTACGAGGTCAGTTGTATTGACTGAGTTCATAACCATTTTGTACTTGTTATAGTGTCCATAACTATAACTTTTAATACAGTGTGCGTATCTTCAAAAAACTTTGAAGACTGTCAGTAAACATTACAAGTTCTTTGTGCACAAAAAATCAGATTTTTTAATGAAGTATTTTTACTAAAGATTTATATGTGAATATATCGAGTCTTTATTGTTTTGACTAGTCAAGTGCAAAGTGATTTCCATGTTAAGATTAAAAAAACCTCCTAAATAAATTTCAAATGCTTTTATTTATTGTTTGTTATTTTCTTTACCCTAACTCCATAGATGGTTGGTCAATTTGAATGACCTCATAACCACAAAAAAAAGAAAGAAAAATATATCTATATTACCCTTTTTCTTTTTAGAATGACTTCAAACTACATTTGTTTATCCTAAATAGCTTTAAACTCACAACAGTATACATCTATTTATATATAAATTTTATTGTTTTATTGCCCTTTGAACTGTGTCTAAATATTATTCACACCATATAAGTTGTAAATCACATGGAGAACATGCAGCTCATGTAATGGTATTGAATTACATAATACATGAACTACTTGCGAGCTGTTTGCAAGTGTACCTTGTGAAAATTATTATTGTTTATTT